TTCCTCCATTATCTCTTTCCACTTACAAGTACTTCCCACATTCCACTTATGTGCAAGCTAGATTGTTTTCATCCTTTCCAGAAAGCTTAACTGAATCTTATGTGCTTCTCTGGCCAGTACCCTAATTATGACCTTTCTTTTTTATTCAGGTTTATTGAAAGGATGTTCTTTTTTTTTTTAATTATACTTTAAGTTCTAGGGTACATGTGCACAACGTGCAGGTTTGTTACATATGTATACATGTGCCATGTTAGTGTGCTGCACCCATTAACTCGTCATTTACATTAGGTATATCTCCTAATGCTATCCCTCCCCCCCACTCCCCACAATAGGCCCCAATGTGTGATGTTCCCCTTCCTGTGTCCAAGTGATCTCATTGTTCAATTCCCACCTATGAGTGAGAACATGCGGTGTTTGGCTTTCTGTTCTTGTGATAGCTTGCTCAGAATGATGGTTTCCAGCTGCATCCATGTCCCTACAAGGACACAAACTCATTGAAAGGATGTTCTTTAACCCCCTAGCTCTATATCCTTTCATTGTAATGTAGCTTGCTCTTCCACCACACCCTTGAAACTGCTCTCACTAGAGTCAGCAATGACCTCTCAATTGTTAAATCCAGGGAACATTATTCAGAGGTTGTATTTGACTACTTTCCTTCATTTAATGCTGTTGACTACTCCCTTGTCCTTGATACTCTTCTTCCTCTGCTTCTGTGACTCCATTCTCTCCTGGATCTCTTCCATGTCTTTGATTCTTCCTTCTTATTTTCCTGGAGTGGGGGACCTCTTCTTCACCCATCTCTAACATGATGGTGTTTTCCTGGATCCTCTTTTTAGAGCTCCTATTCTCCTTTCATATTCTCCCTTGGTGATCTCATTGACTCTTGAGGTTTAAAACCTCCAATATACTGTCAACTTTCAAATCTACATCTCTTCATGGAACCTCTCTCCCAAGCCCCAAACTAGAGTATCTAAATGCTTCACAGATAGTGTTTGGATATCCCACAAACACCTCAACTCAGTATCAAAAGGCAACTCATTCTTCTCCCATCTAATTCTCTAGTATTTCTATTCTTGGTTAAGGTAGCACCATCTGAGTAGTCAGACAGGGTTTTTTGTGTGTTTTTTTTTTTTTTTGAGATGGAGTTTCACTTGTGTCACCCAGGATGGAGTGCAATGGTGCAATATCGGCTTACTGCAACCTCTGCCTCCCAGGTGCAAGTGATCCTCCTGCCTCAGCCTCCCAAGTAGCTGGAATTACAGATGCACGCCACGATGTCTGGCTAATTTTTGTATTTTTAGTAGAGACGGGGTTTCACCATGTCAGCCAGGCTGGTCTTGAACCCCTGACCTCAGGTGATCCGCCTGCCTTGGCCTCCCAAAGTGCTGGGATTACAGGCATGAGCCACCATGCCCAGCCGTCAGACAGGATTAAAATATGGGTATTGTCCTCAACTCCTTTGACTTTCTTACCTTAGATCAATCAAGCACTACCTCTTGCCAATATCACACTCTACATATTTACTGAATATGGCCACTCTTCTCCATCCCCACTGCCTTAGTTCAAACTCTCATGATCTCACTTGTGTGACTGTAATGACCTTCTAACTGGCCTCCATCCCTCTGGGTCCATGCCTTGCACCACTACCTCTGCCCTCAACCATATCTATCCTCCACACAGTGACCAGAGAAACTATACCTCCTTGATTAAACCCCTTCAGTGGCTTCTTGTAGACCAAAGAGCAAAACTCAACCTCCTTAGCTAGGCATGCAAGGCCTTCACTGCCTGACCCCAGCCCTCTATTCTGCCACTTCCCCTGCCCTCTATTTGAAGTATCCTAAACATTTTGTGCTGTTTCATGTCTCTCTGCTTCTACTCATATTTCCCAGAAAATTTGAACCTTATTTGACCACATCCCACCCTCCCATGTTATTCTTTTGCCTCCAAGATTCAACTCAGTCATTGTATCTTCTAGGATGTGTTCATGACTCTTTTAACTCGGCTAAAGTGCATTTTGTGACTACTTCATTATAAAATGGTATACTGTGATACACACACACACACACACACATTGCTTCTCTTACAAGTGTGAAACAACAAGAGGGCTGATGACATAAGGAGGAATAAATGGTGGAGACAATGAAAGAGTACAGGGGAAGAAAGGGAAGGGAGTAAGAAAGGAAAGAAACGGAGAACAAATTGTGCACTACCACCAAAACCAAAGGAAGAGAACATTTCAAGAAGGAAAAAGTCACCAAAGATGTACAGATGACAAATAAGTATGAAAAGATGTTCAACACTGTTAGTCATTAGCAAAATGCAAACTAAAACCCCATTGAGAAACATCTACATGCCCTTTAGAATGGTTAAAATGTAAAAGACTGACTATCTGAGTGTTGGCAAGGTTGTGGAGGACCTGGGACTCTCACACACTGCTAGTGGAAATGCAAAATGGTGCAACCACCTTGGAAAACAGTTTGGCAGTTTCTTAAAAAAATTGAACATATACTTACCATATGATCCACCCATTCCTCTCCTAGGTATTTAACCAAGAGAAATGAACCACACATCTATACAAAGATTTTTACACAATATATTTATAGCAGTTTTATTCATAATAGCCAAGAACTGGAAGGAATCCAAATGCCCATCAACAAGTGAATGTATAAACAAATTGTAGTATATCCATACAACAGAATAGTGCTACTCAGCAATACAAAGAAATAAAATATTTATATCCACAATAATATGAAGACAATAAAGAGCACATAATGCATGATTGCATGCATATTAAATTCTAGGAAATGCATTCTCATCTATAGTTGCAGAAAGCCAAGCAGTGGTTGCTTAAGGAAGAAGTAAGGTGGAAAGGGTGGCTATGGTCATAATTTGATTGTGATGATGGTTACACAGTTGAGTACATATACCAAAGCTAATCCAATTGAACGCTTTAAATATGTGTCATTTATTGAATGTCAATTATACATCAATAAAGCTATTATTTTTAGAAGAAGAAGAAGGAGGAATCCAATAGATTTGAATGTAGAGGGAAAGGTCAGAGAGTAGGGATTAAAATGAGGCCACAAAAACTTCTTGCTGATTCTCACAGCAGTTCTGCTAATGAAATCAGGGTGAAAGCTAGAGTGCCAGAGTAAAGGAGCAAGAAGGGGCTGATAGATGTGTAGAAGGAGTGCGTGTTTATTGCTCTCGTATTAGTCTGCTAGGGCTGCCATAACAAAATACCATGGACTAAGTGGTAGGAATTTATTTTGTCCCAGTTCTGGAGGCTGGAGGTCTGAAATCAGGGTGCTAGCATGGTTGTGTTCTGGTGAGGGCTCTCTTTCTGGCTTGTACATGGCTGCTTTACACTGTGTGCTCACACTAAAGGACAGATGGGTGGGAAGCAAGTGAAGGAGAGCCCCGGTGTCTCTTCCTCTTTTATAAGCACAGCGCCATGTCAGACTAAGGCCCTACCCTTACGACATCATTTAAACTTTATTACTTCCCAAAGGCCCCATCTCCAAACACTATCACTTTGGGGTTAGAACTTCAACATACAACTTTTGGAGGGACACAAACATGCAGGCCATAGTAGCTCTTTAAGAATTGAGGAAGAAACTTGAAGGGGTAGGAAGATTAAAGAATAAAAAACGAAGTGAACACATTTGTAGGAAGGGACTTGGACAAGAGGAAGCAACTGAGAATAGAGGTGAGTATGAATACTGGGCATGGTTGGAATGGAGAGTGCAGGTGGGGGGTCAGGGAGTTAATGACTTAATTCAGCAGCTTCTGTGGCCCAGGCAGGCAGGAAGCTAGGCGATAGAAATAGGTGGACTCGTCGAGTCCTCTCACAGCCCCATGTGATTGGTGGGGGGGTGGCGTTACCTTCTTTTTCTGGGTGAGGAAACAGGTTTTGAGAGGTTAAGAAAAAGAGACAAGATGAGCAGCTCAGTGTCAGCATCAGGATCTGATTGCAGAGCGTGTGCTTTCTTCCCTCTCCCTTCACTCATGACCTTATAAGACCTCCCTGATCCCCTGAACTACAGATGTTCATATTTCCAAGAGACTGGGATACCTCAAGGATCTTCAGAAAAAAATCTGGTTGAAAACTTTAGATTTTTTTACCTAGGATCTTTTTTCTTTTTCTCCTTAAGTCTCCTGTGGTAATTCTGCTATGGGTAACTCCTTGTGTCTTTCATTGAAGAATGATCTTTCCTTCAAAGCTTTAACCTTTTTCTTTTAGTTAGGAGTTTAGAAAAATATAAATGAGTTCCATCCATCATGCCCTGCAGCTCCATAGCCAATGGAGCTGGAGTATTGGAAGACATGAATTTCCCTTTTATTTCCCCATTCCTCATTCCTTTCTCCCTCCTTCTCCTCTTTTTCTCCCTCTCCCTTCTCCCTCCCTTCTTTGTCATTATGTTGTGCATGGCGGCATATACAACACCCCTCCCTCTGCCTAGGTGCCCTGTGGGAACTTTTCAGATCTTATAGCCATGAAAACTATTATTGGTATTCCTTGAAAGACCTCTGTACACAGAGCACACTAGCCACTTTGTAGAATGGAGATTTTTTTCTCAGAGCAGTTTAGACAACGGCACTCTCTTCTGAAAATAATCACACTTAATGCCTCACCTCTTATTTGTGCAAAATGTTATCTCTCCTCCTCCACTCCACTCTTTTCCCTTTCGTCTCCTCTCCTCCTCTTCTCTTCTTTCTACTCCCCTGTCACATGTACCCAGGTCTTTCCTTGCACTGGGGATCGGTTGTGGCTGTGAGATCATTTTACAGCAGTACTTCAGGACTTATTTTATTATTTATTTACTGCCCAACAAATTTTATACTTATTTTTTACTTATACAAATTTTTTACTATTTACTGCCCAACACATTTTATTTACTTTGTTTTAAAATATTTTAGGAAATAAGTTCAAATCTGAGAAATCATGGTGGAATGGGTCCAACCAGGAGAAGACATTCCAGAATTGTGAATGGTGTAGACGGCTCGCTGATAGCCCCAACTCCAAAAGTCCCAGCTACTCTTACTCATGCTCCAGAAAGATTTCAGGCTACCAAAAGGTACTGTACCTGGTGAGATGGAAGGAGGGATACTGCTTAGAATAACAAAAGTGTCCTCTTTTAAGTCAATTAATAAACAGTATTGGGGGGATTGAAGGAGTCTAAACTCTCGGAGTGACTAGCATCTTATATAAAGACCTTGTACAAATACTGAGAGGGCTCAACTCCTTCCAGTATACTCCGGTCAATAAAGGACAGTGAACAGTTCCTCAATTTAACCTCTTCTCTTTTCCTCCCCTCTTCTCTTTTCTCTTTCACTTCCATTCTTCTCTCTCTGTATATTTTTCAGACTCCAAAGAGTGTATATCACAAGGAAGGCCTTTCCAAATTCTCCAAATCTATTTAAATTGAGAAGCACAGAACTGTCCTCACTTTTTTTTTTTTTTTTTTTTGAGTCTCGCTCTGTCGCCAGGCTGGAGTGTGCAGTGGCGTGTTCTAGGCTCACTGCAACCTGCACCTCCCGGGTTCAAGTGATTCTCCTGCCTCAGCCTCCCAAGTAGCTGGGATAATAGGCAAGCACCACCACGCCCAGCTAAATTTTTTGTATTTTTATTAGAGATGGGGTTTCACCATGTTGGCCAGGATGGTCTCATTCTCCTGACCTCATGATCCGCCAGCCTCGGCCTCCCAAAGTGCTGGGATTATGGGTATGAGCCACCACACCTGGCCTTTTTTTTTTTTTTTTTTTTAAGATGGAGTCTTGCTCTGTCACCCAGGCTGGAAGGCTGGAGTGCAGTGGCCTGATCTCAGTGCACTGCATCCTCCACCTCCCGTGTTCAGACAATTCTTCTGCCTCAGCCTCCCGAGTAGCTGGGACTACAGGCATGCACCATCACACCTGGCTAATTTTTGTATTTTTAGTAGAGATGGCATTTCACCATCTTGGCCAGGCTGGTCTTGAACTCCTGACCTCAAGTAATCTGCCTGCCTCAGCCTCCCAAAGGGCTGGGATTACAGGCATGAGCCACTGTGCCCAGCCTGTCCTCACTGTTCTAACAAAGATTCTAACATTGCTTAGAATAATAGGATGGTGAATTATTGTCAGAGAAGCATGGCCTCTCCAGAGACATGTCTACAAATCAGAGATGCCCTATTCTGTGTGGATCTCTTTTCACCATGACAGAGAAAGACAGACATTCATACTCTATAGTATGAATTACTTTGTAATACTCTGTATGATACTCTGTCTGAATATTCTGTAAATCATACTCCGTAGTATGATTAGTCTGAGTATTTTATCGGGGCCTACCAATGACACTCTAATTGAATTCTGGCAAATTTAGAATAAAAAATAATAACAGGCAAAGCAACTCTGCTACTCAAGATGCTGTTAGTCTGACACATGGCCAGAGTTCAAGTGTATTAAAGTCCACGTTTCCAATGTGTAGATGGAAGATTTAAGACCAATATGTCAAGTCAAGAGGACCTTGGGAGTTCACTTCAATCTAAATATTCCTACAGTCAAGGCTAGGAGAATGCAAAGGGAGACGGGTAGTATAAACACTGGGCTTAGGACTGAAAAAGGACTGCTGAAGCACGCTTCAGGCACATGGGGTCCCCAAGCAGGTTGTGACACATCCGCATCCCTGGTGAATAATCAGAAACACCTGAAGCAGGCAAGAACCATGGAGACACAGCCACCTACCCTCCTGCTGCAATGCCCGTTATACACATTGTCTTTCTGATTCATATCCACATACCTCCTTCCTTGGGCTCCCATGTTTCTGTTCACTTGTCAGGGCTCCAGAGGCCTTTGTGTCTATTCAACTGGAAAAGGTGGGGCTGCGGGACATGATGCTGAATGCCTTCCTCCTGAGGAAACAAACCATGGCTGACAGAATGAAGAGCCCTGTGAGTGTGTAGTGACAAATGCTGCCTAAAGCTCTGGTCCTCTTTTGTATTTAAGCAAATGAAAGTTCTACACTTGGAATCTGTTGATCTGATGCTTTCAACCTATTTGACTACGACCATTAGAAATATATTGTAAAGAAGTGAAAAGGGAAGTTGAATAAGAAGTAGAATCAGTTCAAGTGGATTACAGTCATGCTTTAAAAATGTATGCATTTTCCCAATGCTGCATTTTGTTTTGTCACTTTCTAAATGAACTAGTTTCAGCACCTGCACTGGAACGTTCGCCTACTCTTGAGTGACCCACAGGGGTTCGGGGATTAGACAAGGTAAACAATGGCTCTTACCCATCTGGTCACCTGATAACCATCTGGTTATCTTGGTTTTTCAGACACTACCACAATGTTTGTGTTTAAAGGTTTTTGTATTAGCTTAATCTATTGAAAAATACTAAAACTAAAAACTTTAATCAGTAAAAAGTCTTCCTTAATTTTGCAAATATCATTTCATTATTAATTTTTTGATGAGAAAATCATTATGGTAATACATAGTTATTTAGGAGGAAAATGACAAGATTTATAATTCTAGGCTTTCTTCCCTACTTGTGACTTTAAAGGAAAGACTTAAATTTACCTAATCTAGTTCTACAGATGGGATATGATGAGGGCCAGGAATTACTGCTCAGCTATAATAGAAGCAAAGGGTCCCTTCTAATAAGCAATTCTCAAAAAATATTGACCAAGTGGAAAAAATATAATCATTCATGAACTGCCCTTCAGGATTATTCAACACCTATCAGATCAGAAAGAGCTCAGGCAATATAATTACCTGTATTAATTTTGTCAGGGTCTGGGGACTACTTACTGGCTAATAAGTTAACCTGTTACTGTTCCATGGATGCTGACAGAAGGCACACAAGACTCTTTTGTCAGAGACAAAGAATTTTATTATGCACAGCAGAGTAGGCAATATGATCTTCATGTCTGTGTCAGTCCCACAGGGACAGTGTGGAGGAGCCTACATGCAGGTAGTGGCTTGTGTCACAGTGAAAATCAGTGAGCTTGGGGAACCTACCGCTTTTATAATAAGCCTGCTCTTTTTCCTGGAGGGAGACGTTACCTTATCGCTCAAGACTGCTCTCTGCAAACACAACCCTGAGAAATGGTTGTGAGGTAAAGTGTGATCAGAGCCTTGCATCCTTGGCATCCTCAGCAAGATGGGTAGGAGCGGGAGAGAGACACAGAGGAGTGCCTCCCAACAAGCTTAACCTAGAATGTCTCAGCTCTGTAGCCTTTTCCTGCTTGAAATTTGCTTTAAGTTTGTACACATGTACTAGGGTGGGGAGTTCTTATAGCCAACTGTCTACTAAAAATATCATTCTCCTTTATCACAGGATGAAATTGGAAAAGTCAAGAGAGATGTTATAGTTGAATATTGTCAGAAGTAAGTATAGTACATGTGAATAACACATGCTGATTTCTCTGATTCTGAATGTAATAACTAGCAGTTTTATTGGGTAAAATCAAGTTAAACTGTCCTTTGACATGCATAAAAGCATCGGAAGTGAAGGATAGGGGTCGTTATGAAGGGGTTCATGCCTCTGCCTTCAGGCCATAGCCACCTGACCCCAATGGAAATTTCTTCTTGATAGAAGTACTCTTTCTCTTTGAAAAGTCCTCCAGGGATGTGGATCCTGGAGCTTCAGTGAGAGGTGGAAGAATTTGGATTCTCCGTCTGGACATCCTGTCTTCTGACTTTCAGGTTTAACCACCGCATGTCTCACTATGCTCTTCGGGGTCAGATCATGGCATACTGCAATAGCCTGAGAAATCTTCTGGAAGATTTTCCTACCATCAGGGACACCTTTTTCATGGTAGGGCAACCACAAGAGAAGAAGGGGTTGAGAGACTCCAAGGAGGGCCTCAAGGCTGACCCCAGGTGCGTAATTTCCTCCAGTGTTTATTACTCTCCTTCCCTGGCCCTACTTCTCCCTGGGGAGAGGCATGTTAAGTTTAATATTAAACCTTTCCTCCCTTTACTGCACTTGACCTTGATCTTCTTGTACAAAAGGGTAAAAGGAAGAGTTAATACTCCAAGAATAAGAGTATCTTTGTATTTGAACCCAGAAGGGGTTCCTTGTATATGGGCTGTTTGACTGCTTTTTCAATCTATGCAGTTTTGTTTTCCCTGGGGAGCCCAGAAATTTTTAATCAGTCACAACCCTTTACATAGCCAGCATCTAAAATAATCAAACAAATAAGTAAACTTGATCTTGAGCTGTCCTGGCTTCAAATATTCTGCTCAATGGAGTAGAAGAAATATTGAGAAAAAAAAATGATATACCAGTGCCTTGGATAAATCAGTGTCCTTCTGTTTATAATGTGTGTATATATATATACACACACATTATATTAGTGATATTAAGTGATAAGAGCAGAGCTGCTTCCATACATACCATGCATTATCCAGTTTTCCAAATTTTCTTAACTCAGCCTACCTAGAGTTCACCTACCTGGATGGAGGAGTTAGCATATCTGTGCAGTCAGTAACCACACTTTCTTAAAAAAAAAAAAAAGGAGCTGCTATATGGTTATGTAGCCTCCAAACAGAAGCAAAAACACCCTGTAGGGTGAGCTTACCTCATTCCTCACTCTTCCCCTTGTAGCATGGAACTTGAGTAACAGTAATACTTAATACATACGATCATAAACTGGATAGATGGAAGGGAATTGAAAGATCATTTGTATCAGACCACTTTCCCCCATTCATTCATGCAGGTTTTACTCAACCATCATTTATTCAATGCCTACTTAGCATTAGGCACTTTGCTATGTGCTAGATTTACAAAGGTAAATAAGTCATTGACTCTGGAAATAAATTCAGTCTAGTGGGGGAAAGCTCTATAAACAAACACGTAACTTCAAGAATAACATGTAAGAGGTATGCGAAGAGGTCTGTGAGGACACAAAAGAGGCAGTGTTTTATTCTATCCCAGGGTTACAGAGAGGAATTCAAAGACAAAGTGATAGGAAAGTTGGAGTTCACCAGGAAAATGGGACTGATAGAACAGGTTAGAGAATGCAAGAAGTCCTTACGCCCTTGACTGACTGATGGCTAACTACCAAAATAGTGGCCAGTCCCACCTTGATACTTATGAAATGCCAAGTTTATGGATACCAGTGATTGGTTTCATGAGCTCAGCCATGCTTTCACTTGGGTAGATGTCAGTATTTGCCGAATGGAAAAATGCATCTGAGAGAAGAGTGGAGGCAAAGGTACTTCAGTAGACTATTTTGCTGAAGGGCTTGACTGGATACCTGTTGCCCAGTGAGGCCACAGTGTATCCTCTCATCACAGGAGAATCCTCTAAGACTTCTTAGTGCCATTTTGTCACCTATCCTCTAGCCAAGTTAACTATTTATTAGCCCAGTCTACAGTTGAGATTGAACTTTAAAAATAGTTTAGCCAGGCACTGTAGCGCATTCCTGTGGTCCCACCTAGTTGGGAGGCTGAGGTGGGAGGATCAGTTGAGCCCAGAAATTCAGGGCTGTACCGCACTATGATCATGCCTGTGAATTGTGACTGCAGTCTAGCCTGGGCAACATAGGAGACACCATCTCTAAAAAATTCAATAAATAAGTTTTTAAAATTAAAAATAGTGTCCAGAATTCTAACCATGAACTTGCCAACATTTGTGTTTTGGATAAAATGTATTCAGGGAGTCCATTTTTATTTCTGATCTGTTTCATTTGCAGCAACTATGTAAGTTGATCCGGATATGGAGAGGAGGGAAAAATCTAACTTACAGGTCTTGCTCTATTCCTTTATTATTTCTTGTAGATGCTGTGTGTTTTCTAAAGATTAAGGGAAACAGTGAAGCCCAGACCCCTCAATCATCTCGTCAGTTAATGTGTGATAACTTCAGGGTAGGGTCTTGGGCCAGTAAAGTATGAGCAAAGTGAGTGCCCACTCAGAGCCTGAGTCACACAGTCAGCCAGCAGATGAGCTGCAGCTGATATAGGCTCAGTGTTTCTCTCCTACACCCATCTCCTGCTTCCTAAACTCTCTAGATGTTAACATAACCCTTTTAATACACTCATGTAAAAGGGAGTGTAGAGAAAGGAAATTCTGTCTTATGTGAAAGTTTGGAAAAATACTGTATAAGACTCTTCTAACTCCAAAGTCAGGGTTCCATGCACTGAGGAACAACTAATGAAAATTAAATATCAGCCACAAGAAGATGTGGTGGAGAGAGACATGGACTGGGAGTCAGAATATTTGGACTTTGCCCAGCTCAGTCATACGTTGCCCTGAGGTCTTGGGCAAATCACTTGTCTTCAATTGGGCCTCAATCTCTTCATCTAATGACTGAGGAAATTGAAGAAGCAGCTCTCTGAAGTTAAACATGTTATGATTCTTGGTGGTAAGTTATCTAGAGCATGATTCCAAGGAATAGGACTGCTGAAGAAATACTTTATGGAAAGGGACCATTTTTAAGACTGCTCAGGACATGGCAAATAGGAATCCTCCCAAGCCAGAGTTAACTAGAGATGAAGGGACAGAGTTGAGGAGTGAGGACCATAGAGGAAAGAGGTCCTCATCTGATTCATAAAATAAGGGGTTGAGTTAGAATGAGGATAAGAAATAAGGTTCATTCTAAATGTCAGTTCAAACAATGCATTAATGGCCCTGCTGAGGATTCTGAGGCATCTCAAGTTTGTGAGAGTAATTGTAATTGATTGGCAATGTCTGCCATGCTCAAGGAAAGGCAGAAAGGTAATTTCCATGCTATGGGTTTGCCATCCTTGACTAGAAGAGCCCTACTTAATTCTGCAAAGGCTGTAATGTATTGTGTTTGGTTTAGCAAAGACACCCCTGTCCCGGTAGAGGAGGAGCCAAGGGGAGCCCTCTTCCTAAGCAGGAAGTCCCTTCAGGGTTCCATTCCCTTCATGGCCCTAGAGGAGACTGGAGTCTGGAGCCTAGGATGACACTCCAATCCACTCCAGGAGCAGCTGCATTTGCTGATGAACAGAGAGAGGATGCTAACATTAATTGAGGCCTTACTTTGTGACAAGTAGAGCCACTGTCATCCCATATAGTTACTTTGTGCAAATTAGAAGGCAGCACCCCTTCATCTGGACAGCTGTAGTCTCATACCAGGGAAAAGCATCTAGTAAGTAAAGTACAGGTTGGATCTTGGCCATCGCTTGTTGCCTCAGGGTACAACCTGAACAACAGTATATGGCAGCCTTGGTATCAAGTGCTGGTCCTTCCCCAGCAACGGGAAATAGGTAATTACAGTACACTGTGATAAAGAATAAAGTAAAATAAATGTTTAATGAAAGCACCCACCAAGAAATAGTATTATCTGAAGGATTGGGTTGATGGGAATGGGGAGCAAAAAAGGCTCCAGGGAAGAGGGGATGCTTAACCTGGGTCTTGAATGACACCTAGTGCTCCAGGGAGACAGGGAAAAGAAATTCAGCTCAAGCTGGGACAGTCGCATGTACAAAGGAACAGAGGTATGAGGCAGCATGTGGACTTGTGTGGGACTCATATCCAGAGTTTGTGAGGGCAGCAATGGGAAGTAGAATGTATTGAGGGGTGAGGAAAGAGCCAGAAGTCTGTGTTTGTCCTCCAGGTCATTGGGAAAAGTGGAGCAAGATGATTGTCAGTGACATTATGTAGGAAGCTACTAAAATTGTAGAGACAAGAGACGTTTAGAAGGTGAAATCAGCTAGGCCAGATGGCGGATATAATATGAAGCTGAGGGAGACGGAGGAATCTAAGATGTCACTCAGAATCTCTGGCTTGGGTGAATGAGAAGACAGCAGTGCCCTTATTGTTAATGGACACAGACTTTCAGTTTTAGAAGATGAAAAAAGTTCTGGAGATGGATGGTAGTGATAGTTGCACAACACTGTGAATGCACTCAGTTCCATGGAACTATACACTTAAAAATGGCTAAATGACTGAGAGGTGGGCCCTGGGGTGGCCAGCTGGGCTCAGAGCCGAGCAGGGTCAGGATGGACGAGGACGTGCAGACCACCCTGAAGATCCTCATCATTGGCGAGAGTGGGGTGGGCCAGTTCAGCCTCCTCTTGAGGCTCACAGATGATACTTTCGATCCAGAACTTGCAGCAACAATAATATGATTAGCCAACAGTATGATTAGAACGTATGCCAAGTGAAACAAAGGGATCATTGTCATAAAAGTTGCCTCAAATTCCAGTTGTCTGGAAAGCAATGCAAAGTGGACCACCTGCCACAAAAAATACACTCAGTGAGCTACAAGCAAGTTTTGGGAACTTCTCAAAACCAGTGAAAACTTCAACTAAAAGTAGAATTTCAAAGTACTGTAATTTGGTTGGAAACCAACCCTCCAAATCAAACATGAACATCAGTATTTATACTGAACAGCCTCATGTGGTAGACACAAGATTTGTGTTATCGACTTGAATGTTACCAAGGGTTCACGATTTCCGGCATCCGTTGGTGTTATTTCTTTCTTTCTTTCTTTCTTTCTTTCTTTACTTTGAGATGTAGTTTTGCTCTTGTTCCCAAGCTGGAGTGCAATGGTGCAATCTCGGCTCACTGCAACATATACCTCCTGGGTTCAAGCAATTCTTCTGCCTCAGCCTCCGGAATAGCTGAGATTACAGGCATGCACCACCATGCCTGGCTAATTTTTTTTTAATTTTTAGTAGAAACAGGGTTTCACCATGTTAGCCAGGCTGGTCTCGAACTCCTGACCTCAGATGATGCACCTGCCTCGGCCTCCCAAGGTGCTGGGACTACAGGTGTGAGGTACCATGCCCGGCCCCAATAGTGTTAATTTAAGGAAGTTCGATTGGCCAGGTGTGGTGACTCATGCCTGTAATCTCAACACGTTGGGAGGCCAAGGCAGGTGGATCACCTGAGGTCAGGAGTTCGAGACCAGCCTGGTCAACATGGTGAAACTCTGTCTCTACTAAAAATGCAAAATTAGCTGGGCGTGGTTGTGGGCACCTGTAATCCCAGCTGCCGAGATCATGCCACTGCACTGCAGCCTGGGTGACAGAGCAAAATTTGCCTTAAAAAAAAAAGAAAAGAAAAGAAAGAAAGAAAAAAGAGAGTCGGATTAAGTAGAGCAAACCCAGCTGTGAGGCAAGGACCCTGTCAAGTAATCATGCAGTGCTTTTGTTTGGGTTCTCAGAGCAAGTCTTCCTCATCCCTCCCACTTTCTCCTGACCTCCCTGTAAACCTGAACTACCAGATACCTCAATTTTCTTCAAGGCCAGAGTGTTCTTAATGTTGCTAAATTGGTTGAGGAAGTGGGTTGAGCCACTCTTGCTCTGCATGTTTTCCTCAGGGTGCTCTTCAGGCAGTTCAGCAGCCGCATGGCTTTGGCCTGCAGGAGTAACTGGCCCATTACCTAGGCCAGTTACATTTCAAGATGTGTCCTCCAAAGAAGCCGATCAGACATAGTGGTTGTAACTCAGGTCGAATGTTTTGTCCACTTGCCAGGCATCCAGGAACGGGTTGGGGGACACACACAGCCTCTTGTACCTCACGCACACCTACTCGAACTGGATCTGGCTTCCGTTTCCCTGTGTCACACGTAGATCCTGCACCGCGCTGTCCAATTTACTGACTTCGCAGAGATGTCCGGTTCCGGCAGTGGGTTGCTGTGGGAGCCCCACCAGAATCCAGGTGAAACTGGCCTGGGTGCGCCTCCTGGAGGCGGAGAGGTGGTAGGAATTGTTGGTGGTGAAACAGCCCCTGCACAAAGCGTCTCTCCGCCTTGGCCCGGCTCCCCACCGGTGCACTGCTCCTCCAGATCTTACTCTTCGTCCTTGGGCAGGTGAAGGAAGTCGGTGCCCAGCGCGGCCATCAGCATCATGGGCGCCAGCAGGACGATCCAGTGGTGCGCGTCCACCTGCCACCCTGGCCACTGGAAGAAGAGCGGTGCCTCCAGGCAGTCAGTGTGGCAGTGGCGCCTGCAGACCGGATCCCCGGGGTTTCCACCTCTGGCAGAGGAGCGTCGTCCCCTCCAACGCCGGGGATGGCTACGGCCCCTGCCCCTGCCCCATCGACGGTCGCCGCTCCGAGGGCTGCCCTGAAGCCCCGCCCGGCAGCGATTCCGGTTCCTGATCCGACTCCGGGACCTCCCGGGCCCCGAACCTTGTGGCGTCAAGCTACGCTCTGTCTGGGACCCCTGCGGCCTCTTGGAGCCTGGCCCCGGCTTCCCCTCTGACTCGGACCCCGGTTTCGGCTCTGACCCCGGCCAGACCCCAGTCTTGTTGCCCAGTCCCGCTTCCTGGGCGGCGACTCAGTCTCGGAGTCCAGCAGCGCCACGGCCTTAGAGGAGCTGAAGCCTATTTCCGGGAAGCACAGGCGGCGCTCTCACTCGGCACAGCGGGTGAAGCAGCAGCTGCCGGGCGGAGCTGCCACCTCTGCCCTACCCAATGGCTTCCTGGAGAAATTCTAGGGGAGCCTGTGTGAGTGCCCCTGGAGTGCAGGCGGCGTGGGGAGCAGGTGGTTGGCCCCGTTGCCCAACTAATCTGAAATGTATTGGTGGCGTGCCTGGCCTCTCAGGAGGTTCAGCAAATACAACGAACACTTCTTCAAGGCCATCAAATGCGTGCCTGTCCTAGGAGACTTGCAATGTATTGGGAGAATTTGGGTGTTTCTCTCCCCAACACATAAACGGCACAGAAATTCCACGTGTCCTGAGCTACAGATTTTACCTTTCTTGGAGTTCACCCAGTAGCAGTTTGAGGTCAGACAGGTAGTGTGATGACGTTGTACCAAGGTTCAAGAGTAGCACATCTCACACACATGTGTGAACACCCAATTGTCAGGCTCATGAACTACAAAAGAATTCTAAAGTCTTTTAAATAAACTTCCACTCCTGCTCTGAAAAAACAAACAAACAAACAAACAAATGCTAAAATGGTAAATTCTGTGTTATGTATATTTTACCACAATTTTTTTAATGGAGGGGAAAAGATGATGGTGTCATTAGGACAAAGAGATGTGGAGGGAGATGAGAAATCACAGCTCAGAAGCCTCAGCTGTGTCCACCAGCCTCTCAACAAGGCTCAGGTGCTTCTTGTTGGGCATCCTCTGCACTATGGTACACTTCCATTAGCCATGCTGCTACCACAGTGTCATGGTTCCCAGCTGCCTCTGGAAGGTAAGAGCATGGAGGGCAGAGGATGTCTTCATTTTGTATCCCCGGTGTGCACCTCTGACTTTGACACTGGTTGAAAGGGAGGGTGTATGTGTATTAGGGGTGAGGGTTGGGGAAATAGGCCATCAGGAAGGAGAGGGAGTTCCAGCAGTGGCCTTTAATTTGATCATGAAATAGCAGACCGTGTCATCATCTGCTGGCAGGAATTTGGTATGGGGGCCTTAAAGAAGGCTTGGAATCATGAAACAAGAAAATGGGCACTAGAGGTGATAAAGGAAAGGAAAGGAAAGGAAAAGGATTGTTCCAGGGTGACATAGCTCAGGCTGGAAACCATTTCCATCAGTATAATTAGCAGTGTGATTTCCTCCAGCTGTGCTCAGCGGCATGCCGTCAGAAACAGCAAGCTGAGCAGTTGGAAGGACCCAGAACTGGGGCTTTGCTAGGTAGATGGGTTGTGAGTGCAAAGCAGCAGAGAATTGAAGGTGCTGGGGAGAGAGTGCTTCGTGTGCTTGACTGTGAGATCCAGTCTGGGTAGGGAAGGGAGTGAGGTCAGAAAGGAGCTGACAGATGGAAGGGGAGACCAGAGGACTGGATGATGTCAAGGAACCTATTTTGGAATAAAGGAAGGGAAGTTTAGTGAGAGTGGATGACTCAGAAAACTGTAGGAATAAAATATGGGACTGGGAAAGTTAAGACTTTGGAGGTGATACAGTTTCAGAAGATAATAAAGTCTTGGGTGTGGCCCCGAAGTGGTCAGCTGAAGGGGAATGAAAGGGGACAGTGTTGAACAGGTTGGGGAACTGCCAGGCCAGATAATTGGCAGGCCATCCACAAGGGGCAGGGCAAGTCTCCTTGTGGGGCTGAGAACCAGGCTATGCTTCATGTACTGAGCACCTAAAGCTTTCTGCAGTCATCTCTGCTCTTCTCAGACGATGGCTGCTCACTGCAGGAAGGACTGGAAATGGCAGGAAATAACAGGTAAGAAGTAAAGGATAGCACTTGGTAGAGGGCCCAGTGGCTCCAGGGACACATGTGCTTCTCAGAGGCTAAGGAAGGAGATGCAGACCCTGCAACTTTTTAGTTTTGATATTCATTGTTACCTCTAGGCAGGAATGAGCACGGTGAACTGAATAATAGAGATGAGACTGGATTACGCTGGCTTTGCTCTGTTTCAGGACAGGAATTGTTTGACTTTGTGGTTGCTAAAAGACAGGCAATTCTCCAAACTAAGACCATACTTTATTCCTGAGCTGAGAATTAACTGATTAAAATCCTGAGACTTATGTTTATTGTAGCACTATTCACAACAACCAAGATATGGAATCAACCTAATAACCCACAAATCAGTCACTTGCAGCAGCACGGATGCACCAAGGATTTTCCATCAGAAAAAACAAGGCATTGATTGATGTAAAATTCAGGATGGAGGTTCATCTGGGGGCCACCAGGGAAGTGCATATCAGGCTTCAACATTCCTTTTCTCAGGCCAGGTGGTGGGTACCTGGGCTTGTGTGAATCCTTAAACCAGACATATATGGACAATACGTTTATATATAAACCTGCAACAAAGAGCCGACTAAACGAAGAGATGACTAACCTTATTAAGAAATAATAAGGTATTTGGAGGAGGAGGAGAAAGGAGGAAAAGAACACCAGAAGCTGGAGAACCTGGCAAGAAATGTGGTGGCAAGGCAAGAGAAACAGAGCCTGGTTTTGGAGCCCAGATTCTACAGCTGGACAGATAGATGTGCATTTGAATTCTCTCTTTTTTTCTGAGACGGAGTCTCACTCTGTCGCCCAGGCTGGAGTGCAGTGGTGCGATCTCTGCTCATTGCAAGCTCCACCTCCCAGGTTCAGGTTCATGCTGTTCTCCTGCCTCAGCCTCCCAAGTAGCTGGGACTACAGGTGCCCGCCGCTGCGCCTGGCTAATTTTTTGTATTTTTAGTAGAGATGGGGTTTCACCATGTTAGTCAGGATGGTCTCGATCTCCTGACCTCATGATCCACCTCCTCGGCCTCCCAAAGAGATGTGCATTTGAATTCTAACTTCATCTTTTAGGAGCTGGGTAGATCTCCATAACTTCTCAGGGCATCAATTTCCTCAGCTGTGAAAGAGGAACAAAAATAGATCCATCCTGAGGTTGCCAGATGAATTAAGTGACATAAAATATGTACCACCTAGTGTGGTGCTGGCCATCTAATTCATGGTCTTCCTGTCTTTTCTCACCACGCCTTTCCCTCCTTCCATCCCCACTCCTTCCCCCACGCAGCTCTGGCTAAAATCAGCCTAACTGCTCTTCTTCCTGTTGAGTTATTTATGAACTGGCCACCTGGGAGCGACATGAAAAGGGCTGCTGCCCTGGGGTGTGGATGCTGGGCCTGTGGTGACAGGCCTGTGTGACAGAGGGTGGTGATTCAACAGGGTCATTCATGACGCCTCTTGTTTAGAGGGAAATGCGTGCTATGGATCCTTTTTTCTAACACTTGCAGATTTCAGCCCCGGCCACGATGTTTGCTGTCAGCGAATGGAAAAGTCTTCCTCAATTTATGGTTCATACCCCATTCTTCTGAAGTGCTGATTATGTTCAAAACTCTGCCAGAAAAGGTTTGTATTTTTTTGTATGTGTGCCAGAATGGAAACTGGCTGGGTTTTGTCTCACAGTTAAACATATCAATTCCAGAGAACATGCCTTGTTTTATTCAGACATCTAACTACAGAAATCTTTTTCACAGAAGCCTTTTCTGCTTTATCATAATTTGTCTTGGGCCTCACTATGCTATGATTTATCTCTCTCACTGGTCACTAATGAACCCTAATTCAAGCCTCTGACATTTCTTATTAATCTTCAGTTTCCTTCCAACCCTTCCAAAAAACCCCATTGATGCTCTGAAGCTAATGAGAGGTTGAGATCACACTTGTAACTCAGGGTTAGTGTTTTCTGAGGGGTGCTTGTGTACCTCACTTACTGATCAAGGGCAATGTTGGTAACAATTTTTTAAAAAAGAAAACATAGAAACACATAAAACATAAGTATTTGCTAAAGAAATAAATTGCAATGTTGAAAATGGCATTTGGGGAATATTCTGATTTTTGTTTGTAAGTGAAATCCTGTTTAGCAACCTTGGTTTCTTACCCCTACTTTCATTGAAGAAGTTTCAGATTTTTATTTTTAAAAATATGGAAATACTACCTTCTGCAGTTAGATCATAATTTTTCACTTTTCCTCCACTTGGACATGGATATATAAGATCCATGGGTTAATTTTCAGTCATGTGTTGGTTTAAACAATGTTGATAAATATCTATACCTTGCTTACAGGTATTCCCTCAAGATAATGTTGTCTGAATATGAGTCCCTTCTATGAATTGATTTGTGACCCTTGTAATTCATTGATAGCCATACAAACATTTTGATGTGTTCATGGCCTTCAGTGACTTTAAACAAAGAAACACGTTGCTTTAACCCCTCACAGGCGCTCCGTTGTCCAAGGGCATGTAACCCTGGTTCATGAATAGGTTTATTGTTCCTTTTCTGATATTATCCTGTATATACTGTGCCAATGTTTATTGAAATATTCTTGTTTAAAGATATCGTCCCCATTCAGTGTTCATATGTTTTTATATGCCTCTTAGAAATGTCCTAAAATGTATTTCCTTGTATTGATTTTATCCACAGGCAGCTTTTAAAGCCTTAAAGCGAACTCTACAGCTGATAGCTCCTCTGCATGATATCGTGGCCTACCTTGTCAGTTTTGCTAAGCTTGGCAATTGTGCAGCATGTTTTGAATTTCCTCTAAGTCCCAACCCTTTGAGAGGAGACTGGGGAGGAACTGAGGGCATTGGTGAGTGATTAAAGGTGATTCAAATCACCTTCAGTATTCACTGGAAGTTCTATGAAGCTCTTAATACTCAGAAAGACAGAACTACAATATACTCTCCTAAATGACAGCAATCAGAAGGGCAAAGGAAGAGTCCGAACTGTCTTATAGACTGTCTCCACACTGCACAGCTATCTGCTTGATTCCGCATTCACGGGCTATACCACAAAGTGCACCAAGTCAGGAGTCGGGAGGCCTGGGTCTTACTCTGCCTCTGCCACTTGGTTACTGAAAGCTGGGTACTTTACTCTCTGGGTCTCTGCTTGTCCATCTATAAAATGGGGTGATAGTATCTGTCTCATACAGATGTTCTGTGGATTGAAATTTATGTCAAAATTCTAGGATATATAAGCCCCCATTAAATATTAGTTTTCTTTTGTTCCCATTTCCTTCCTGGCCTTCATAAACTCACATGGCAAGGTCAGAGCCAATCACTCCCTATTAAGAAGCTTGTAAACAGCCCTTGGTTAGCTATCAATGACCTAAAAGTCTTTGTGGTAAGAATGATTGAGGCTTTAGTTTTATACACCCAGTGCTCATCAGCACAGGTTATATTATAAGATAAACAAATGAGGTGAATTAAAAACACTGAAATGTTTACTAAGCTATGTTTATCAGAATCAGGGAAAGTAATTTTGCCTTAATAATGTAACTACCATCCAAATAATGTCACTGGTCATGTAAATATCAATTAATAGCAAAATACTATAGTAGCTGGGGATTTAAAAGAACAAGAAGAGCCTAAGAAATGAGGCAACATGCCTGTTTAAACCTAATGCTCTTAAAACAAATGTCAGAGAATCTGAGGATATTCCCCTGTGGCTGGTTGGTGCATAAAGGAAACACATTTGTAGGAGACCTTGGAGCTGGTGGCAGGTATATTTGCATTGTGCTAAGGAACACTGAAGGGCTCTGTAAACATTTAGATGTGGACATAGGGAAGGGCATGCATGCTGATCTGGGAGGAGGATAATGCCTGTGTCTAGGAGTATCAGGATAAAGACAGAGTGATAGTGGTGCCACCTCAGCAGAAGGCACAGAATTGTTGCAGAGTAATGAACTCTCAGAGTGACTCACAAGTCTTCAACATAAGCATCTGATTAGAGAAGCTCCAAGCACTCTTAGGTCCTTTCCTTTTACTAGTTTGGGGACTGTTGTAAGTGGGGCTTACTCAGAAAATAAGCTAAGACACTCTTAGCGGAGCTGTTGGATGTCGGGAGGGTGTGGGGGCTGAGCTTTAGCTAAGGCACAGGAAGAAGGAGTGTGGCCAAGAGAAATGTCCTGCCTGCCCTTGAGATGGGGAGGCAGTTGTTACATGGAGATGAGATAGAAACCGAGAGAGCCAGAGCCATATTTCCTGGTGAAGTCACTACACAGGCAGTCCTATAGCGGCTGGGAGTAAAGGGTGCCCCCGGGCAAAACCTCCCCAGATCAGGGAGGTGATCTAGGGTGCTTCCCAGACTGGAGAGGAGCGGACTTGGATCAGTGTAGAAAATAGGAGGGACAGTCCTAGCAACATAAGAAAAGGACACTGGCCGGAGGCCGAGACGGGCGGATCACGAGGTCAGGAGATCGAGACTATCCTGGCTAACCCGGTGAAACCCCGTCTCTACTAAGAAATACAAAACTAGCCTGGTGAGGTGGCGGGCGCCTGTAGTCCCAGCTACTCGGGAGGCTGAGGCCGGAGAATGGCGTGAACCCGGGAGGCGGAGCTTGCAGTGAGCTGAGATCAGGCCACTGCACTCCAGCCTGGGCGACAGAACCAGACTCCGTCTCAAAAAAAAAAGAAAAGAAAAGAAAAGAAAAGGACACTGGCAAAAGCAGCAGGCAGAACTGCACGTGGCCAGTCCAGAGAAGTGAACCTGCCTGTGAACGAACCCATGAGTATGGCTCTGAGGAATCATGGGAAATGAGGCCCAAGTTGAGGACCTGGAATTCAGGAAGAAGGGAATTGTTTTCTTGCCATTTCTGCACTGTGAACCCAGAAACCATTGAGATATGTGGGACCCAGGCTTTCTGAAGCATGCGGAGAGGCATGCATTGTCATGTTGCACATTTGTGCTCCAGGGAGAATGTACAGTTTTACATGCTCTGCTTTGCTCAAAATAAAAAGCAAACTTAAAAAAAAAAAAAAAAAAGATCCCCTCCAAGATAATCATCTTTTTAAAAAGACTAGGCCGCTTAGTTCTTGGCCTGTTTCCCAGAGGAGGCAAGAAGAACTAAGGGGAAAGATGAAATGAGAGTCTGTTCCTTTAAGCCATCTCAGAACAATTTAGAGTTAGTTCTAAATTGTTAGTTCTAATTGTTAGTTCAAATTACTTTTGTGGACTTATATGCTTTAAAGTATTTTTAAAACAAATCTTGAGGGAAATTCAAGATTTCAGCTTTTGGTCCTCCCCTTGACTGAAGAAAACAGCTCTTAGATACTGTGGACCAGCTCTGTGGATGCAGCCAAATTCTCTTCTTCCCCGAAAGCCAGTAACTCCCTTTGAAGTCCCCCGTGAAGCAGAGGATGTAATCAGAATGTGAACGTTTACATTGTGACTTCCTTTGTAAGGGATAAGTAGGCCAATTAAAGCCCAAATACTTCACACTGAACTCAGGGAAACCAGGAATGAAGTGTACGATCTCTGAGTCTTCATGCAGAGACGGGGCCACTGTGACTCCTCTCTCTCCCCCTCTCTCTCTGGCTGTCTGTCTGTCTGTCTTCCCTGATTTCCCAAACGGGACCCTCCTGGGAAAGGCATGAGCAAAGGCTCCTTTCCTGATGTTTCCTGGCACAGGGTTCACGCCAGCCTCACCACCATCGCTGCCTGCAACAACCCTCTGCCCTGTCCCCACCGCCAGGCCGCCTGTCCTGCCGCCTCCCCTCCCACCAAGCCTCTTGACTCCATAAAGGAAGGAAAGTCGGAACAAGGATTTAAAGATCAGTAAAATAACAAAGGAAAGGCAGTCCTGCCTCCACATCTGTATTTTAATGATAATACTACATATCAACATACAACAATTTTGCTGGGAAGCAATCACATGCCAAGTGCACAACCAGTAGTATATAAATGATGGAAATGACAAAAAAAATCACCTGTAAGCCAGCCACTCTAACAAGTGAAATAATTTTATTTATCTTTACTCCCTTCTAGCCCCTGCCCAAATATATTCCATATTTATATTTTACAGAGCTTTAACCACAGGGTATGTGTAATTTTATATTCTCCTTTTTTCATTGTCACTGCAGAGGATTAGGAAATTTTCCTCTGGTTACAGCATAGCCTGATAGAGTATATTGCTTGTAGACCGAACACACTAGGCCTTGAACAAATGAGGCTCCCTGACCACCTCTCCTCCCTCCAATCACCACAAAAGTTCTTGTACAATTCGTTCTAATATGACTCTTCTTCTGGTGAACTCTTCAGCCCAGTAGGACTATCAGATTTAGAGGAGTCATAAAAAGTTTGCTGATTGGACTCAATTATTTGGGGCTGGAAACAAAAATAAAACAAATTTTGTATTGTATAAAACAGCAAATGGATATGAAATCTGGACTGCTCATCTGTTCTTAAAGCCAAGAGCACATATTACACATGTTAGCAACCATTCTCAGCCCTGGATCTGCCTGATCAAGCTCTCATGGACAGCTTCCCCCTCCCACAACTCTCTGCTTTCTCACTCAGTAGATGCTGGAGCCCAGTACTGGGCTAGGGAGGAAAGAAGGCTGCTTGCATGTGGACCAGCTGTCAAGATAGAGCATCTCCAGAAATGCCCTGTGGGCTTCCTGTCTCACTCCTGCCTTGGACTGTATCAGTTTTCACAATCCTTCTTCTAATAACAGAGATGTCCTCTCAGGGTAGAAAACCATCACTATGTTCACAGGGATATTTCAGACCAGCTGACATTCTGGTAGCCGTGTAAGTGTGAGCCCAAGCATGTTCCCCAAGGGCTCATCACTTTCCACTGTGCTATCCTGTTCTGACTAGCTCCTTCTCTATGCCGATAACTAGGATATATATACCTAGATGCTAGGATGGTCATCCAGACTCAGGCTGGGTTCCACATCCTGGCACTGAGTGCCCCACAAGGCCTCTAAGTTAAATTTTCACCCAAAATGAATATGAATCTATGTATACGTAGCCTACTCTTACAGTAAGGATCTAAGAAATAAAGCAAATATGGATCCTCCACATTTGCTCCTAAAATGACTAGAATCTCCTAGAAGGATATGTATGCATATGTATACACATATGTGTATGTATACATATGTTGCATATCTTTATATATACATATATGCACATGTGCTTTTTACTTGCTTTAGATGGTCTTGAATCTTCTTTAATCCATGAGCCAGTGACAGGCAGGGCTGATTTGGATATAGCATGGCAATAAGAGATGAGTGCTGATTCATAATCTCTGATCTCTTCAAGTACCTAACAGATATACTGAGGACTAGATTTTCCTATTCCTTGTCATTTCTCCTTTTTGTTCTATTTCAAGACCATAGCCTTATAAATTTTAAAACTTTCTTTCCTGGCCTGTTCTTATTGTACTGAAAAGCAAAGCAAATTTTTATCTTCCTGAGGAAGAAAGGAGACATAAATCAGACCTTTAATTCTAGAGCATAAGGCTTTGCTGATCTTGCAAAACATATAATTAGTATACCCACAAACAAAACACGGGAAGTCTGATTAGGTGATAAGTATGGGACAAAATGTTGGTTTACTGGTTTAGCTATAGTAGCCTATATTTCACATTGTCAGACTAAAATATTGTCCATCTTCTAGGGTCTGAGCTTCAAGAGCTGCAGAACATGATTGACAGCCTCCAGAGCCCCCAAGACCCTACCCGGGTGGCCCAGGCACTTCTCCTCCGGAGGGAGGTTATGTTGTTGCAGTTTGACGCTGCAGTGAGGCATCTCATCCGGTAAGGGCTGGAGCACTAATCCTGTCTAGGAAATTCTGCTGTGGAGGTGTTTGCTGAGTGACCATCTAGGGAGGCCACTCTTGGCAAGGTTAGATAATGAGCTTAAAATAGTCACGGGCACAAGCAGATCCAGAACGCCATGGCTACCAAACATGACCTGTCACAAAGGCTGTCTGTGAGAATCTGTTCTTATTGGTGAATAACAATCTTGATTTTAGCAAATGTAATTTCAGAACAGTTCATATAATGATTGCTGCTTTCAATGTACACGGGGGTTCTGCTGGGAATAACGTTTTTATACTTCTAAAGATGATTATTTCTAGGGTTTTTTTTTTCAACGTTTGTTTACTTTTCAAAAAGACAAGTTTTACTGAACTTCTCAAGCTAACAGAATTGGCTACCAGCGTTAAATTTATAAATAAATCAATCTACCTCTAGCCTTGTAGGTACCATTGTGTTAAGTACTCCACATGCAAAAGAAATGTTTTATTTGGGTAATTAATCATGATGCTGATGGGAAAATTAGCTTGGATTAAGATTCATAATGTTTCCAGTATAAATAAGTTTTGTATGAGAGGGAAAGAGGGTTAGCCCTGAAGATTTCTGCTGACTTTTTAATTGTCAAAATCAACTTTTTTAGGTTAGTTCCCCATGTGAGTATTTAGCCACTGAGAGGGCCTCAGAGGGCTGTGCTATTACCTGTAGGTTGCAGTTGCTTTCCACTGCACTTGCAGGCATCCATGGAGAATGAAAAGGTGGGGGTTGCACTGAACTGTCTTGTTCTTTTTCTGCTGTCAATCTTCTTTACTCTGACATCAGAGGACTCTTGGATTTAGAATGTAAATTCAGCAGGACAAAAATCAGGCTAATTTGTTTTCTTTATATTGACAGATAGCTTCCTGAGCTGTAGCTTAGTCAAGCAGGTAAGATGTAAAGCCTCAGACAATTGTCAGGATGGTCATTTGTTAGTCCTCTGGGCTCTGAAAGCCCAAGGTCAGAATTTGCAAGGATTTCACATACTGGTGAAGAAACAGAAATATCCCCCAGAAGTCCTTTTTGGATTTCAGCTACGAAGGATTCCGTTTGGTACTGCTCTCCCAGGGAAACCACTCTGCTTCCAGGAAACCCCCTGGAATCGCTTTGCTGGGGCTTTCTTTGTCCTCACACTCCATCTGCAGGAATGGAGATTGTGTCCGATTTCTGGTTTTATACGTTTTTCTGTGACCCTCTGGAGAGAATCACCCAGACGGTTCACCCCACTGTGTCCTCCACTGGTTACATTTCCCCAGCCTTTTCTCTTCAGAGCTGTTCAGGTTATGTGTGTTTGGAATTATACAGCTAGTAAGTGGCAGACCAGATTTAGAACCTAGGTGTGTTTCACTCCAAAACCCAAGAGCTATTATGGAGACCAAGTGGCAGCGTGGACAGAGAAGAGGATGCTGAAGAGAAGGCAAGATCATCTTGGGTACTGGCTATGTGCATGCTTCTAGGCACAAAACATTTCACCCTGCCCCTCTCAACCCCCCTCTACTAGCCAAAGGGTTGATGGAAATTGGTAGCTGTCCCCCAGTGGGTTGGATCACACTGACCAGGGCCCAGCATTCATCTCTGGACATGTCCACCAACTTGCAGGAGTTATTGATTAGCCAATTCAAGAAATGCCCGAGGATTAAGCTTATCTTTAATACCAGGTGAATTAATCATGTGCATTGAAGGTAAACGCTTGGGTGACAAAGCAGTTCTATCCAATCTCATCTATTTAAGTCAGGAGTTGGCAAACTACTGCTGGAGGTCTCTGCCGATTTTTGTATGGCCTGTGCACTAAGGATGGCCTTCCTATCTTTAAATGGTTGGGAAAAAAAAATGTATAGAAGAATAGTATTTTGTGACCCATGAAAATGATATGGAGTTCATATTTCCACGTCCATAAATGAAACATTGTTGGAACACAGTCATGCCCATTCACCTAGGGATTGTCACCCCTTTCACCCTACAACCCCGGAGCTGAACAGTTGCCACAGAGTCCGTAGGGTCTGCAAAGATGAAAACATTTACTGTCTGGTCCTTTACGAAAAAGTTTAGTTTTTCACCCCCTGATTTAAAGAATAGAATTCCTTTGCACTTTAGGTTTGGAAGGAAGCAAAGAAGTCCCTCAAAGGTACTCTATAGCACAGTATAAAATATATCACATGAAAAGTGCCTCTAGTCTGAATGTATTGTTGATGTTCAGGGTGATTAGGGTAAAAAGGAGAAAGCTGAGGAGATATCTTGGCGATACAACCCTTCCTGCAGCAAGCCTGCCTTAGGAGTACATCAAGGAATTTCTAAAGAAAGCAACTCCAGCCTCTCATTCCTTGAATGTTTGTTGGTTTTCTCTTCATTTTTGTTCTTGAGACAAAGTCTCACTCTGTCTCCCAGGCTGGAGTGCAGTGGCATGACCTCAGCTCACTGCAACCTCTGCCTCCCAGGTTTAAGTGACTCTCGTGCCTCAGCCTCCCAAGTTGCTGGGATTACAGATGTTTACAACCACACCCAGCTAATTTTTGCATTTTTCGTAGAGACAGGGTTTCACCATGTCGGCCAGGCTAGTGTCGAACTCCTGACCTCAAGAGATCTGAGTGCTGGGAGTATAGGTGTGAGCCACTGCACCTGGCGTTCTGTTCATTTTTGAATGTATTTTTATTTTCATGATCACCTACTTAACTCTCTCTAAACATGCAGCTATTTAAGTGTGCTTTGACAGCTGGGTGTGGTGGCTCACTCCTTTCATCCCAGCACTTTGGGAGGCCTATGTGGGAGGATCCCCTGAGCCCAGGAACTTGAGACTGTTGTGAGCTATGGTTGCGCTGCTGCACTCCAGCCTGGGCAACAGGGATCCTGTCTCTAAAAACAAAAAGAAATAAAAATTTAAAAATAAAGTGTGCTTTGGGTTGTCTGGGGATTCCTGGGAGACACATAGGAGCCTGGGCCCTCACATGAGCAGTGCTGAATGAGGCCACGGCCCTCGTTTTTGGCATCTGAGAAGCAAAGAGCTTTTGCCTGGCCTCCTCTGGGCCACTTTGCAGGTTTCATTAAGTTCTTACCTGGAGGAAAACTCTAGCATGTGCCCTGTGAGTTCCCTGTGGTTCAAAATAGCTTTTACTGATGGCAAGAAGATTAAACTTTCTAATGCCACATTAGTGAATCACACTTGGAGTTTAAAAGTGATCCATTTGAGATTTAAAATCAGTTAATGCAAGATTCTCCCTCTTCCCCTTTGTTTTAATCACCTCCTCTTCACTTGCTGGAGAGGGAAGGGTCCTGCCCTAGGGTCATGGGGATGGCCAAACACCCGACCCTGGACAGATGGGGTGAATGACAGATGGGGCGAGTGGTAATTTATTACTCACAGACACAATCCAGAGGAAGAGGGCACTGTCCCCCCATACAGGGCCACTTGGGAACAGAGTGAACAAGCAAGGGCTGTGGGAGGCAGGTTTTGTAATATCAGGAGAGAGTGATGTTCCGTGCTTCACACAGGAAGGGGTGATTGATTTGAATAATGCTGTGGTCTGGCAGGGAACTGAAACCGCTACTCAGGGATAAGCAGGAATTGCACCTGGTTCCTTTGATAAGGAGGGTCGTTAAACCTGGAGACCTTATCTGTGGGAACAGAGTGGGGAGTGGGGGACCTTGTGGCTAAGCTATTTGAGGCCTCCTGGTTTTGCCAGAAGTCAAGGCAGCACAAATTTTGGACCTTAAGTTTAGGCCTCACACAACACTCTTCTCATTCTACCATCCTCTCAGAGGTGATCTAAGTTTCTGTCAGTGCTTTCAAATCTTCCTGGCAGCTGGGAAGACACAGCCACTTCCTTTATCTCTGCTGTGGGTGAGCTGGCTCACCCCAGGCCTCTTCTGTTTAGCCTGCTGTTCAGCATTCCTCTGGATACCCACGTGTGAGGGTCTTTCTCCCCACTTTGAAGGGCTGCTAGTCTTCCTGGGAGGCCTCCTCACAGAGAATCCAAGCAAAAGGACCTTCTGCTCTGGGATACCCTCCTCCAACTTATCCAGCATCTTTCCTTAGGCATCCAGTAGAACTCAGCTCTAGTAGTCTTTCCTTGTTTAACTCTTATTTCCTTTTAGGCAAGAAAAATCATTCTAATTTATCATGCATACTGCCTTCTCTCTGACTTATGGTATAAATTTCATGCTCCAGTCCTCAGGGTTTGTGGTTCTTGGTATACAAAGCCAAGTTTTGTTTAAAACCAAACAAGAACTTTTCTCCCCCAAACCCCAAGGAGGCTTAAAACTTTAAATTTAGTTTTTATAAAGAAGTGTTGTCTCAGCTTTTGGTCTTAAAATAATTCATTCAATAAACAATTGATAGCTTTTTTCTAGAGCTACAGCTGCACTATTCAGTAGCCACATGTGGCTATTTAATTTAATTAAAATTATTATTAATTTAAATGAAAGAAAATTAAAAATTTGGGCTGGTCTGAGTGCAGTCGTGTTTACAACTAATTGATTACAACCAGTTACAGATTGCTTTATTCTTTCTCCACTCACACTGCTTCGCTTGACTAGCCTTTAAAAAAAGAAAAAGAAGAAAAAGAAAATTAAAAATTCATTCCCTCAGTCACAGTAGTCACCTTTCAAGTGTACAACTGCCACACGTGGCCAGAGGCTACTCTATTGGATAGTGCAAATATAGGACATTTCCACCATTGCAGACTGTTCTGCTAGACAGTGCTAGTCGAGAGTATGCCAACCCTCCCCATGAGGGCTATGAACTGTGAAGGTCAAGGGTAATGGGCACGGGGTTGATGTGGCTGAAGAAGGAACCTGTTAATATCTCGAAATGTTTTCTTGCTTCCGTAACTTTGAGGAAAGTTTTGAACTTTAGAAATGTAAGTAACTGCTTTTAATGAAATGCCCCCCCGACCCCATGTTTTGGTAGAAGAACGTTTTTGGCAGCTGGAAATGTTCCTGCCTACCAGTCTGTCACTGACGGCATGTGCCATGGGCTACCAGCACTGAGCAACTGTCTCAGGAAGAGCATTTTTGCCTCGCAGCTCAGCCTGCCCCAGCCACTGGATCCACGGAGCCTCCAGGTGTGTTTCTGACGTATTTTTATACTGTAAATGGTGTGCTGTGTGTAGGGAATTTAGGCTGTTTGTTTCCATTTGGTTTAGATTCTGCAGGGGCTTTCAAGACTTTAATGCCCTCTGTCTTTACTGGCTCAGCTTCACTTGCACAGTGGAACAGTCTGGGCCCCAGGGCCAGCTGTGATTCCCAGTCAGGGTCTTGGCCTCCAAACACTCAACAGGCTGATCGGGGCAACAGCTTGTCTGTTCACAGTTGATAGCAAAACAAACACTTAATCTTCTCCATGTAATAAATAGTCATGATAGCAATTGCAATGCCTAAATGAAGTCAGCAGCTGGGTTTTCAATAGCCCTGGTTATAGCCCCTGTTGTTGAAGGCAAGCCTGGCAACTATTGTTGCTCCTAGGCAGGAACAATATTACCCACCTTCTACAACCAAAGAGTTCAAGATTCAGGAAGGCCAGAGATCGGACTATTCCAGAGTCACGGCAGCACCAGGTTGCAAGCTGTATTAGTTACTTATTGCTGCATAATGATTTACCCTAAAGTTTGGCAGATTAAAGTAATAGACATTCATTATCTCACATAGTTTCTGAGGATCAGGAATCTGGGAGCAGCTTAGGTGGGCAGTTCTGGCTCAGGGTCTCTCATGAGTCAAGATGTTGGCCAGGGCTGTAATCATCTCAAGGCTTGACTGGAGGACAACCTGCCTCCAAGCCCACTCCTATGGCTGCTGGTGGGCACCAGAAGATCCACTTCCAGGCTTATTCACATATGCTTCTCCACCGAGCTTCCTTGCAACACAGTAGATGGCTTCCCCCAGCACAAACAGTCCAAGAGAGAACCCAAGATGGAAGTCACAGTGTTTTTATTACCAGATTTCAGAAGTGACTCTCATCACTTCTGTCATATTCTTTTCACTGGAAGTGAGTCACTAAGTCCAGCACACATTCAAGTAGGGGGGATGGTGCGGAATTAAGCTCCACCTCTTTACAGGAGGAGTATCAAGGAACTAGTGGATATCTCTTTCAAACTACCTCACAATCCCTGGTCTTTCGACTCCAAAATTTCCAACTTAATATTCTGATTTTATGGTGCTAAGCCAAGGGACACCAACATTTCTACCTGCAGTGGCTGCAAGACAGTGACTTTGGGCCCAAGCCTTGGCCCTCATTTAGACCCAGAAGACAGGGCTGGACCGTGACCACTGGATCTGCTCTTGCTACCTTTGGGTGTTGCCTGGGATTAGGTGGATACAAGAGTCCTGGCTTCTTGCTGTCAGAATCAACTGCAACTCCAGGACTTGACTAAAACCAGAACCAGGTCTGGAAGTGTAGAATGGGGTCAGATAGGCAGGCTCACTGGTTCAGGGCTGCACATAGTATCACAAGGGACAGAGGATGCCTTAGCTATTGGTTAGTGATACGGAGGAGACAGAGACTCACATGTAATAATTTGTGGCGCTGGTCTTGAGTTGTTACCTAGAACTGGAGCACAATAGTGATGAAGGACAACTTTTTAAGGTTCCTGATATTGAGAGCATTTGAGTAAATTTATTTTTATTGATTTTAAATGTGTCCCATTGGTGTGATACTGCTCTGGAACTTCTGAACACTGGTGCTGATTAATTACACTGAAATCTTAAGTACTCTTCTGTGTTTCACCATCTGCTGAGAAAACTATTTAAAAAATAGATTATTACTCTCTCCTGTATCACTAGGAAGTTTCAAGAAATACTTCCATGTAATAAATAAGTCATCCAAAATTGTTTTGGGGTGCCGACACAGATATCCTATTCATATACAGATATCTATTAATTTTGAACACAAAGTACAGCATTATCATGTTTATTATTTTGTTCTCTTAGGCATTTGAGCTGTTTCCTTGGAGAGCATTTCTGGAAGATGGAGGACTATTCCCAGCTATGAGTAGCAGCCCAGATACCCTAGAATATAATATGCAGGTAGGATAGGTCTTCTCCATTGTTACAGAGAGAACTTCTCGAGTGCAGACTGCAAAGATGGTTGCCATTGGGTCCACAGGTCAGATCCTCCTACTCTCACCCATGATGAAAAATGTGTGAGATAAGCAGGGTGTTTGATTTTGAAGCTGTAAACCTGGGACCACGAGGTGAGTCACATTTTCTTATGATAGAAGAGAAGCATGCTCTCAACTGGCGTGGGCCTGGGTTGTAGACTCAACTGCAGTTCTCATAACAGTAGTGATCTGGGAGAATGGCCAATCATCTCCAGTCATGGGCTGGGCCTCCTAGAGAAACTCCCAGGCTGGAGGCTCAGAGATGTGTGACTCCTGACCTGTCCATAAACAGTGGTGGGAAGGGAACTTTTTAAAGCAGGACTCGTCGGGAGAATTTCTTTTCATTGTTTTCTTTTCCGCCGTTAACTTCTTTTAAATTGTTAGATTCTTTTCATTATTAAATGTTTTCCCCTGATTATTTAAGTAAATATTGTTTTTATTTAAAAAATAGAAAGCATAAAAAAGTATTAAGAACAACATGAAAATCAACCATAAATACGCTTCAAAACCATATGGAGGTGGGGGAGTGGGTGGATGGGATGGGACTGGCCATGGGTTAATGGTTCTTGGGGCTGTGTGATAGGAACTTTTCTGTTTGATTTCTATATATTCAAAATTATCCATAAGTAGAACAGGTTTTTTAAGTAAAATAGTAAAAATGGTCTTAAAAAATTTACCATATGGCTGGGTGTGGCTCACACCTGTAATCCCAGCACGTTGGGAGGCCAAGGTGGGCAGATCACTTGAGCTCAGGAGTTCAAGACTGGCCTGGGCAACAAGGTGAAAGCCTGTCTCTACTGAAAATACAAAAATTATCTGGGTGTGATGGCACACGCCTATAGTCCCAGCTACTCAGGAGGCTGAAGCATGAGAATCACTTGAACCCAGGAGATGGAGGTTGTAGTGAGCTGAGATCGTACCACTGCACTCTAGCCTGGTGACAGTGTGAGACTCTTAAAAAATAAAATAAAATAAAATAAAATAAAATAAAATAAAATGGTAAAATAAAATTAAAAATCAACCATCGTCCCACAACTAAGAGAAAATTACAGTTCACATTTTATTTCCCTGGTATTTTCTCTCTGTGTATGTGTGTTTATATCTGTACTTTTAAGGAAAAATTGATATCACACTATACATTCACCATGTCAGATCTGCTGTAAGGGCTGGAAACTTGGCATTTTCATACAGAGCCAAAAGTTTGATGTGCTCAAAGAAAACTTTAAGTTAGAAATGTTACTCTGGTTTTTATGAATTTTCTAGCAGTTGAGAGGATGGGTTCTTGTAAATACAGTTACTCCTAGTTTTCTTCCTAAAAACCATATGTAAAATATATATATATGGTCTTCAAATGGAAGGTTTTTTTGTTTTTTTAGCTGTGCCTCTGTGGGTTGAGTGACCGTGACCACAAGGTGGCTCATGGAGAACTGGTGGGTGTGCAACTGCTACTGGAAGATGTTCTGAGTAGCTATCATGTGACCATGGAGGCCCCCCCAAGACAGCAAGCCACACTGGGCAAAAATGCACAGGTATTCTTGGGGAATCGTTTCCATATTGACCAGTACTGTATTGGGCTGAAGGACTTCTCTGCTGGGGAGATGGTCCAGGGAGCCACATGTTCCCATAGCCTCTCTCAGTAGGTCCCAGGACTGTGCCAACACCACCTGGGAGCAACAGTGGAGCGGGGGTAGCCACTGCAAAGCATTTTCTAAGTTCCATGATTATGGTCTATCCAACTATTTTAATTTTTAAAATGGGACAAAAGTTGTAGGAGGTCTATTGAAACAAATGAAACAAAAACACCAACTGAATGCTTTCTTTGTGAGTCACACATCTAGGACTGGAGTTGGAAGGGCCAGAGGGGTCTGATAGAAGCCCCAGGTGGACATCTCAGGCCTGGGCTCTTGTCCTCACACTCAACTACTGGCCTATGGCCTCCTGGGCAGGCACTGCCTCCTCTGGGTTTATCACTCTGAAGCTCTAAGGTGCAAGAGCCACTAGCCCTCCTAGTATCATGACTTTAAACAATTTTGCATGTATCTGGGAACTAGGCAGAGACATGTTTGGATGCCAGACAAACTAGCTGGTGCCCCCACTTGAAGACCTTTTCTGTCTGAGCCAAACTTTCTGAGCAATGCCTAAATCTGTCATCTTCATTTTCTTACCTTCCTGCTACTCCTTGCAGCACTACAGTCTGTCTTCCCAATCTTGCTACTAAAACGTGTCTCATCAAGAGGTGGTCCTTGTCGCTAAATCCCCTGGGTACTTTCAGTCACCTTCCTACCTAACCCCTTGGCAGCATTTGACAGAGTCCTTCTCAAAGCCTTTCTGCCCTTGGCTTCCACAGCATGAGTCTCTCCTACCTTTCCTCTGACATTGCTGAGCCCTCCTTCTCAGACCCTTCCTCCTTCTGTAGGGTCCTCTACCTCTGCCAACCCTAAAATGTTTTTTATAATCTATCCCACCACTGCTACCAGGGCCACATTTTGACTTCCACAGGCCCTAACACTTTTACCTTTGTGGGCTCCTCCCTCCGCCATGAAAAACCTTTAAAAGTTATATTTTAACGTTGTGCTAGTACAAAGAAAAAGATATTAAAATCATATATTAAGGCATTTTCTTTAGCCTAAAAGGTCTTTTTTTCTGATTAAAAAAAAAATAAGGCATTTTGTGAGCCCTAGGCACTGTGCCTCCTCTGCCCAAGCCATTAAGTCAGCCCTGAATGCTACTAATACCACTACTATTATTGCCTACAAGTTGAGGTCTGTTCAGATTGCTTTTGATGTATTCATTTATTTAGTCCTCACAATAATTCCATGAGATAGGTTGTTTCATTGTTCTCATTTTATAGTTAAGAATACTAAGGCTTAAAAAGGTTAAGTAACATGGCCAAAGTCACATGGGTAATAAGGAGACAAGCTCAGACTCCAACCCAACGTTCTGGTCCTGGAGCTCCCTCATCCTCTTCTCTACTAGGTTGCTCCATTCCTCACCCTCTCCCTAGGAAAACCCATCCACTTTTATAACTTTGATGACATTCACATGCCATGATCCAAATCTATATGTCTAGCCCAAATATCAATCCTATCAGACTCACATGTTCAATTGCCTGCTGGATATCTCCACTTATTCCATCTCAGAGACAGCGTGTCCTAAGCTAAGGTCATCTTACTCCCTAAATCTTGCCCCTCCCCCATAGTCTCTGTCAGATGGTCAAGCCAAAAACTCTGGGCACCATCTTTGACTTCTGTCCCACACCCCACAACCAGTCACCAAGTTTTACTATCAATTATTTTAATATCTTTCAAGTGCGTCTTCTTTCTCCGTTCCCCCACAGTACCCACTTCTACGAGTCCAAACCATCATCATCCCTGATCACTAGGCTATGATCGCGACCTCCAATTGGATTCCGTACACTTACTCTCACCTCTTTCCAATCCATTCACCAGGGTAATATTTTTAAATGCAAGCCTGATGATGTCACTTCCTTCACTACAACTCTTCAATGGATTCCAGATGCCCTGAGAAAAGTCCAAATGCTTTCATCAGCCCCTCGTGACTTGACTCCTGCCAATATTTCTACCCTCAGTGTCTTTCGATTTGTCAAGTGCACCATGCTCTCCTCTGTACTTCTCCCAAGCTGGTCCCTCTAGTGGAAAACTTCCCTCTCCTTCCTTTTTCTGCTTCATCACCTGATTAACTCTTATCCTTACTTAGTTATCCTTCAGATTTCCACTTCAAAACCACTCTCTTTAGGAAGATTTTTCTGATCATCCACCCTTACCCCCGATGCTTCTCTGTGCCAATTAGAGTGCTTCTGGTGCAAGTAACAGGTTGTCCCATTAGCTATAACTTAAATTAGGGAAGCATATTAATCCTCCATAATAAGAAGTCTAGAAGGAGGCAGTTCAGGTTGGTGTAGCCCCTCAACAGTGACTTCAAGGACTCAAGGTCTGCCATGTAGCTGTGTCGGCAAACATCTCCCTCATTTTTGTAAGATAAAAACAGGAGCAAAAAAGCTTTCTCCTTGGAGATCTATCTTTTTATCAAGGAGGGGAATATTTTGTAGAAGCCCCCCAGTATGATCATTTGCAAAGCTGGATATAGATCAAATTGTGCCAAGATCAAAAAACATGCTGGGCCCTCAGGTCCTTCTGTTTGCCATTTTTTGGCCCTGTCTGTGATGGATTACCATCTTTTTCTGACATTCCCCACCATCCTCCACCTTGTTATTTATCTTGGCTCCTGTTCCTTCTTTTGTCTTTTAAATTAAAGCACGTAGGTAGAAAAGACTTCTCATCATATGAACATATAAACAAACAAATTTGCTTTAAAATTATTATTTAATTAATTTGATTTCATGTGTTTTTATTTAGGAGTATTTAGCTATTCATAGACGATAGAAAGCAGCAGAATTTATACTGCCCTGAGAGTCAGGACTCCTGAGTTCCTGCCCCAGTTATGCCACAAGTTTTTTGATCTCACTAGGCCTCAGTCTCCAAAGCTCCAAAGTAAAGGTGATGAATTGGCTCAGGGCTTTTAAAATTGTGGTCCAAGGAGCCCTGGGGTTCCTAAGAGACACCTTGGGGCTTCTTGAGCTGGGGGTGGCGTGCAATTACATGGCCTCCAGGCTATCCCCTTCATGTCACCATGCTTGTCCTTGGTCTGTTGAATATTTGGGCCAGTGCATAAGAATTCATTTAATGAAAGAGCTCTGAGGATAAAATGAAATCTGGAAATCCATGCACTAGCTGATTGTTGGGGAGGCAGGCTACAAGACTGAGGAGTTACCAGCAATCTATAGAACTCACTCTCCCCTGGGTCTTGCTTATCAATTCTTCCTTGGACAATTTGACCAACGCTCTTCCTGGCAGGCAGGCTTTTCCTTATGTATGTTAATACCACTGCTCTAGGAAACTTGAGTGTCTCAAGTGCTGTCACCTAAATGCTCTTTAAGCCTCTTTTTATCATAACATCATGGGATTTGCCATCCTGGTCTGCCAAGAAGAGCTCCTTTTTCTGTGACTGAGACACTGTGGACAGGCAGTGGGCCTGAATCTGGTCCTCATTTTGTTCCTCACTCTGGGTGACCTTGGCCCTCAGACTGCTGGCTGCAGGACAGCAGGACAAACAAGGACCTGAATACCTTGTTTCCTCTACGTCCTGCAGGGTTCATAGCAGCCCCTCCACAATTATTTACTTAAGGAAAGCACCAATGAATAAATGAAGAAATCATAATTTTAAAGTAATCTTTCTTATTGAATGATAAATTCTAATTAAGAGAAATGTTTCCTGCCTAACTTCTAAAAGATGAGAAGAAACAGGAGGTAGGATAAACTTAAATTTCCATTTCTTTACCCATAAGATGGGTAAAATCCTCAAAGGAAAGTTACTTCATGGCTCCACCATGATGGGAACTTTAATCTCAGGTGTATTGAAGAGTACTTTCCAGAATGCAGAGGGAAAACACAAAAGGCTCAGTTTTTCAAAGGCAGATAAAACGTTAGTATGCAAGTAAGAGAGTTTTCAAAATGAATGGTTCCAGACCCAAGCAGAAAGCTGCAGTTGATACATTCCTATCCTTTCCATAAACTGTTCATGAAGGATGGTCAACCTCCCTCAACTCTACATGTGCTGTAGGCCTGTGAACCATTCCTCCTGGGGAAAAAGTTAATTCTCCAAAGACTTTGTTTTACACAAGCTGCATGTAAAAGGTTAGCCTGTGTTGGTTCATGATCAGTAAAGAAGGATTTCCATAATGCTTTCAGCCAGATTGGTCCAAAGTGCCAGGATTCAGAAGTCAGTTCCGAAACAGCCCAAAAGCCTCCAAGTTGCTGGAGGGCCCGTGCGATGCGGTGATGTCCCTTGCTTTGCTGAGATCATTTCTGATACTGTGGAAGCAGCTGGAAGTGCTAAAGGAGCACTGGGGCCGACTCAAGCTGCAAGGCCAGGATATCAACTCTGTCTCTCTCCACAAACAGTTTTCAGAGCTCTACGAGTGAGTGTTGCTGAGGCTGAAATTCATGGCCATGACTAGAACCTTAGGGATGGCAGCTTCCTGCCCCTTTATCTGAGGGCGAGATTTGGTCCATGAATCCTAACATGACCCATTAGACCCATGGGCTGAGTCTCTGAGTGCTTGTGGCACTGCAGCCAGGGATATACAGATGGCACATGGGGCACAGGTCTGGGGAACGGGAGGCATGCTAGCAGCTGCAGGCCCTGGCTCGAATGACGTAGCTGGCTGGGAAGGCGTGTTGCTTCTGCCATGTGTCTGTTAACAAACATTTACTAAGCACCCCCATACACCCTGGGCCTTACCAAGCTTAAGAATGTTTGCTTTAGGCCGGCGTGGTGGCTCACGGCTGTAATCCCAGCACTTTGGGAGGTTGAGGCGTGTGGATTACCTGAGGTCAGAAGTTTGAGACCAGCCTGGCCAACATGGTGAAACCCTGTCTCTACTAAAAATACAAAAAATTAGCCAGATGTGATGGTGGGTACCTGTAATCCCAGCTACTCGGGAGACTGAGGCAGGAGAATGATTTGAACCCAGGAGGCAGAGGTTGCAGTGAGCTGAGATCACACCATTGCATTCCAGCCTGGGCAACAAGAGTGAAACTCTCTCTCAAAAAACAAGAACAAACAACAACAACAACAGAAAGTTGGTATAGCCAGATTGTTTATCTTGTGAAATTATTATAGTCAGTGTCCCTGATAACTAGAAAATGTGAAGACTTGTCAATATTTTGAAGACTGAGGACTGAGATTATATGCACCCAATGGGAAAAAGCCTCACGATTTCACGTGGCTAAGAAATGATAACTGTGGTGAATTTAGATGTTGATGTATCTGTGAATGGGTTAGGATACTGATGATAGGAAAGATAAAATGAATGAAAATAATTATCAGAGAATTAAAGTGAGAAAAAATATGTTTGCTAATTTCTGTCTTTCTTCTTTAATAGAACTGACATTCTCTACCCCAGCATGAAAGCTATAGCTAGGCAGATGGGGAAAGAAGATGAATTTGAAGGATTTATAGTAAATAATCAGTCTGTTCTTCCCCCCAGTGGAGCCTCAGAAATTGAAATAAAAACTCACCAGGTATGCAGAATATATTTTAAATTTGCCTTTGAAAACGTCCTTTATGGCATTAGCATGTAAAACTACAGACATACCAAAATGGTATTTTTTCTAAGAAACTAAGTGTAAATTGCAGGGTTGCAAATCATTGAATGGGGTGGGAGGGAGGGCAGGACTAAGTATTTAAAGGCGTGTGGGGCTTTTATGAAGCAAATTACTTCCCTTAATATCCCTGTTCTATAAGTTTGGATTTTTATCATTTTGATTTTCCTCAAATTGATGTGTACCTTCATAAGAATGATGATAGAAAACATAACCACTATCTTAAGCATAAAATTTAGCATGCAGGTAGCCACATGGAAATAAAATATTTTTAAAAGCTCCCTGTAATTGTTTTTCTGAGAATAAGAAAATGCCCACTCGATATGTGTAAGATGATCTGTGTGGAGAAGTTGTTTTCCCGAGTCTTTGTTCAGCTTGGTCCTGGGACTCAAGCTTTCTGTGGCTGGGCTTATTGTACCAGGCAAGCAAGGCCTCGGCTGTTTGGTTGTCAATGCAGAGATGCCCATCCACTGAGCAACAAGGAGAAGTCAGCCCCTGTCAGGCCCCAGTGCCAAGCTCACTGCTTACCCTTCTAAGCCCTATTCCTTTCCAGCACCTGGGGGCCTTCAACAGGGAGAAACATGCACTCTGCAAGCGTAATAGATTGAGTAAGGCTCACAGTTTTTGGAAGGCTTTTCTGTTGGTCCTACATGGAGTTTTAAATCTTGTAAAATCTTCCTTGGTATCTAAATCAAGTTTTATACCTGAGGGCTTCTTCTTTTTTTTTTTTTTTTTTTTTTGAGATGGAGTCCTGCTCTGTTGCTCAGGCTAGAGTGCAGTGGCACGATCTCGGCTCACTGCAACCTCCGCCTCTCAGGTTCAAGCAATTCTCCTGCCTCAGCCTCCCAAGTAGCTGGGATTACAGGTGCCCAGATAATTTTTTTATTTTTAGTAGAGATGGGGTTTCACCATCTTGGCTAGGCTGGTCTTGAATTCCTGACCTTGTGATCCACCCGCCTTGGCCTCCCAAACTCCTGACCTCGTGATCTAACGGCCTCGGCCTCCCAAAGTGCTGGGATTACAGGCGTGAGCCATCGCGCCCAGCTAAGAGCTTCTCTTATAATGAGAACTCACAAAATCCTAGCCACATTTAGAGACTCCAAAAGACATGAGGTCACCCCAGGTATTGAACACTTTGCAATTTAGCAAAACTTGGTTTGAAAAAAAGATTATATTTTATCAATGAGGATGTGAACCAGGAAGAACAGGTGTTGTTCTCCAGAGAGGTACATCTGTGCCCCCAGAAGCACTTGGGAGACCTAGAAGGGAAGCGTTCCTTCTTTCTCGGGAGAGTAGCTGAGGGGCAGGCCCTAGCTCAAAGCCCTTTTGCAGGAATATGACACGGGACCCAAAATATAAGCTGAATGTAGAGAGTGACCCTCAACCTATGCTTACTCTAGCTTCAAAAACTTCTGGAAAATTTTGAAATTCATATGATCCAAGAGGTACTAAGAAAAGTTAACAGAGAGATGACACTGCTTTTATCAGAAAAGTCCAAGAAGGAGTGTTCTCTCCCTACAGGTAAAGTACCTTTATTTTGTTACTTCACAAAATAATTTCCTAATTACGAAAGCAATTCATGTATCGACATTTGTTGTAAAAACAAGCAAAAACCAAAAAATCAGTGCAATGCCCAGAAAATGATATAAAAATGACTTTTTACACCTTGACCCTGTGCAATGAAAGGGCGAGCCTCTCCCCGGCTGGGCGTCTCTAACTGCCACCCGAGAGCTGAGTGTGGCTGAGCTCTAGTTATAGAACTTGCAACAAGACACAAAGCACTTTGGTATATTTCTTTCCCTGTACAAAGGCTTTTTTTAAAAAAATAGAAAACATAGTTTCAACTCTACTGATCAACTCGTAACTGAAATAGAGTTGAAATGAAGGGAAAACCTAAAGCCTTTCTTATTTGTAACGTACATAAGTTATGATGTGTCAAATTCGTAAATGTAGGGTGTGAAGGCAATCAGAATGGTTTCCTTCCATCTGAGGCCCAAACTTGAGGCCACTTCATGGGCATGTGATGCGCAGGATGCAGAGGGGCACTTGGGGTTTCATGTTCTGTGGTCACCATCCTGAAACTTTTAATGGTTTAACTTTGAATTTGTTCAAAGTTACAATTCCAGGTACCTAAGGTGGGCAGGAGGCTTGTCCTCACTGAGCTACCCGTTGAACACATGGTGTTGCTACCAGCCTGGGACCCCTGAGATGCTGCTGGGTGCACACGCCTGACCTTGACCCTCCCCGCACCCAGAGGGGAGGGGAACCTTGGCACAGGGAGGGTCAAGGTCAGGCCTGTGCACCCAGCAGCATCTCAGGGGTCTTAGGCTGGCAGCACCGCCATGTGTTCAATGGGTAGCTCGGTGAGGGCAAGCCTCCTGCCCACCTTGGGTACCTAGAATCTCCCAGGACAGAGGTTGCAGTACTCTTGGGGGTTGCCTTTCCACAGTGGATTGGGGTGGTGGGAAGGGGAGATGCCTGACTCAACTTCTCATCCCCAGGCAGGGCCTGGTGCCTCAGTCTGGTGACTGGTGGGTCATGCATATTCACACACTGAGTCACAGGTGGGGCCACTGGATGCTTATGGGGGTCTCACTTGCCCTGCACGTATTCCCATGACCAAGAGAGCGCAACGTTAAAAGCGAATAAAAACACCATGACAGGTCAAGAGAGAGACTGCAGAAGAAAGGGAAAAGGTTTATCTTTTAATACCTGTGTGACACTTTTTCCTGCTTTTTGAACAAGAGGTCCTACATTTTTATTTTGCACCAGGCCCCTGCGTTATGTAGCTAGTCCTGTCTGAACTATAATATCTATTCCTAACTTTGAATATTCTGTAGGAAATTCATAACCTTTGAGCTAGGGAGGAGTTGTCTGACTACGAACTTAAATTAGGTTTTCCTTTTGAGACAAAGTCCACAGACATTGTAATGTTAATTAATAACCTCTGTCCTCACCTAGGACATAGTCATTTTATTAGTGCTTCAAGTAACTGAATTCTGTAAACAGGGCCCTGTGCAATGAAAGTGCGAGCCCCTCCCCAGCTGGGTGTCTCTAATGCCACCAGAGAGCTGAGTGTGGTTGAGCTCTAGTTACAGAACATTCAACAAGACACAAAGCGCCTGTTGTTTGTGCTGTGTTTGCTGCATCCAGGTGGCTCCCTTCCGATTCCTTGGAGAAAATCCACAAGCCTGCAGCAGGTGCAACCATCTGCACATGTTGGGGCCGTGGTTCCTATGAGACACCCGGGGTGAGGGGCTGTGGGGAAGCATCTTTGCTTTGTGGTTGTGCTGCTGTGTGCAGGGTGCCTGTCAGCTGTGCTTGCAAAGGGCCTTCAATGCAGTGGGGGGCAGGCAGAGGGGAGGGGTAGAGTTATTTTTAACAGTGGCAAGGTTGATATTACAAAGCCTCACCTTGGATGGAGTGTGCTGGCCAATTCTAAACTCTTGTTTGATTCTATACTTATAAGACTTTTAAACTCCATGCCAATATCGAAGGGAAAGGGTTGTTGTTTCTGGTTCCATTTTGTTTTGTTCTTTGGTCTGTCAGGCATGACTTCGTGTGGAGACCTGGATCTCCACCTCTACTGAGTTCTCCTAATTCAAGCGATTGAGTCCTCACTGTGTGCCAAGGTGCTTTGGTATACACTTCTTCAGTGTCATCTTCCTGAGACCGCTGTGGGCTTGGTGCCTTCAAAGAAGGCAATAACATATTGGAATCCCCACCTACCTATGGTTTATCTTGGCAGCAAGAAGTAGCCATAGTGAACAGGGCTTCCAAGCAGGGGCTGCCTCTTCATGCAGAGATCACCCTTTGTGGCCAAGGTTAGCTTGGGACTGGAGGTTTCTCCAGAGGAAGTTAGGAATGGAGAGTATTGAGAACCAGGGGGACAGCAAAAGCCCTTATCCTTTTCCTCAGGGTCTTCTCCTTCCCTATGGGCTGACTGACTGTAGTGTTGACATTTATATCTGCCAAAAAGAAACCCTGAGCCAGGTATGGTGGCACACTCCTGGAGCCCAGAAGCACCTGGGAGGCTGAGGCAGGTGGATCACTTGAGTTCAGGAATTTGAGACCAGCCTGAGCAACATGGTAAAACCCTGACTCTACAAAAAGTGAAAAAAATGTAGCTGGGTGTGGCGGTGCACACCTGTAGTCCCAGCTACTCAGGATGCTGAGGTGGGAGGATTGCTTGAGGCTGGGATGTTGAGGCTGCAGTGAGGCAAGATCGTGCCACTATACTCCAGCCTGAGTGACAGAGCAAGACTCTGTACAAAAAGAAAAAAAAAAAGGAACCCTGGAATACTTCTCTCCCTCTCCCTCCTTCCTTCCCCCTCACCTTGTTTGGGAGCTTGATCATACAGCTTCTGAATGAGTTTCTGGTTTGTCATTGAGCCTCTGAGGATGTGGCATCCAGACCTGGCCCTGGTGCTAGGTTTCGGTAGCTGAACTGGTAGCCCCCTGAAAACTATCTAAAGTAGCTCCAGACATCTTTGTTCAACCCCCGGGGCTTATCTTAGCAGAGATGGCCCCATTGGTTCACAAAGATTCTGACATCCCTCATCTTTGATGTTTTGGCATTGAAGTGATTTTTAGTTGATTTTCTAATTTTCTCTGAGCAGTTATAAGGCCAGCAGTCTCCAAAGTAGAATGCATATATCACAGGGGTGTGGGAAGAAAATATCAGAACTTCTAAATAGATTAGAGCCATATGTAAGGAGTCACGTGCACACTCTACATTGAGGTGTCCTGAAGTGACCATGGGCAGGCAATCCACAAGTAATGAGAAAATAGTAGAGGCGACACTTCTAATCCTAGTGCATGCTTATCCTCAGCCACATTATGAGATCAGAAAAGATAATCTAATCATATCTGATAAGAAGATAGACAATAAATTTTTCTTTTTTTTTTTTTTGAGACAGTATCTCACGCTGCCACCCAGGCTGGAGTTCAGTGGTGCCACCATAGCTCACTGCAGCCTTGAACTCCTGGGCTCAAACGATCCTCCTACCTCAGCTTTCCAAGTTGCTAGAATCACCAGTGCACACCACCATGCCCAACTAATTTTTAAAAATTTTTTGTAGAGCCATGCTCTTGCTGTGTTGCCCAGGCTGGTCTTGAACTCTTCGAGTGATCTTCCCACCTCTGCCTCCCAAAGTGCTGAGATTATAGGTGTAAGCCACCTGCCTGGCAGACAAAAAAAATTGTAAAAAGTCAAGGAAACTATTGGGAATGTGGATTGAGATCCATTCTCGTTGTTGAAGAATCCTACCCTAAGTATATCATGCTTTGTGATATTCACTATTGGTAGTATTGTAGGTAGTTATAAATACACATAAATAAAATAAAATATAAAATATATGAAAATAATAGTATAGGATAATAAATATAATCAAAATGTAAGTATACATATATTATTAAAAGTGAGATATCAACAATGTTTTGCTTCAAGAGAGCATAATCAAAACAGTTCTTAGAAGAGCATCGTGTCAGCCAGCATTTCCCCAGCAGTGCCATGGAACACAAGTTCCTCAAGACATTGAAGCAGTAGTTCTCCCAGCCCTTCTTTGCTAACAGGCTTCTGGGTGACCTGACGCTTTCCATTCTCCTGGTAACATGAGCCAGCAAAGTGCTCACTAATCACAGTTTTTGGGTTGCATGTGTTTTACCTAGCATCACGAATCATTGTTTGCTCCAAACCTGTTTGTGCCTGTTTTAACTGTCATTGTGTTGAGATAGTTTAATTAAAAACTATGTAAACCAGTGTAATAGGAATACAAAAAGAAAGAGATCTGTTGATTGTAGAAAAACTAAATTGAAATTGATCATCTGTAGCACATCTAGTCAGTGAAACATTATCAAGCATTAAAAAGAAATGAGCTGTCAAGCCATGAAAAGACATGGAAGAGGCTTAAATGCATATTACTAAGTGAAAGAAGCCAATTTGAAAAGGCAACATATTGTATGATTACAAATATGACATTCTGGAAAAGGTGAAACTATGGAGAGAGTAAAAAGATCAGTGCCTGCCACCATTTAGGAGGGTAGGAAGGAGGAAAAGGCAGAGCACAGAGGATTTGGGGGCAGTGAAACTATTCTGTATGATACTAACATGGTGTATCCATGTCATTATACATTGTCCAAGCCCATAGGATGTAGGACACTAGAAGTAAACCATAATGCAAACTATAGGCTTTGGATGATAATGACATGTCAATGTAGGTTCACTGATGGTAACAAATGCACCCTCTGGGGCAGGACATTGGTGGTAGAGAATGTGTGTGAGGACTGGGAGCTTATGGGCCCTCTCAATACATTCCCTCCATTTTGCTATGAACCTAAAATTGCTCTTAAAAATTTAAATGTATTTGAAAAAGAAAATAAAGTAAAATGCCCAGGCGTGGTGGCTCACACCTGTGATCCCAGCACTTTGTCTTGGCCAGCATGGTGAAACTCTGTCTCTACTCAAAATACAAAAATTAGCCAGGCGTGGTGGCGGGCACCTGTAATCCCAGCTATTCAAG